ATTGCTGTCATATTGTAATGTGTCTACCGTATAACGTGTAAATTCTGTAACGAACAGTCACTTTGTTTTTGAAATAAACATAATTTATTCGTGTCCTCACTCAAGCATTATTATGGTAGCCGTGTATCGATAACCTGAATGCAGCAACTATTACACAACGATTTCGCGCCACAAACATTTACGCGGTATGGTGTCGTAGCTTTCCTTGTTGTCAATCATTCTCGAATTTACGTGACATTTTTTGCGACAGGTCTATGTATCATACAGTATGTTATATTTGCATCTTATCATTAAAAGATATGCCGAGATGAACAGCATATTCCAGCCTCTAATTCCCGGTCATGAAAAGCGGGAAATGAAAAACATCTCTCGGCTAACGAAGCGATGGTAATTAGGGTTAAGAAAACTCTGCCCTTTTGAGTCAATTCCCTCCATGAAACTAAATTCAGGTTTTGCATTGAGCCCAAATATATTTAGTTGCCGGAAATTCCCATGCCTGTACTGCGTTTTGGTGCCGAAAATTTTTAAGCTGCGTGACATTAGCCTGTTTGTGCCCAAAAACGTCAGAAATCAATCAACTCACCGAATGCTAAGCTATCTTTATAAAAACGAAGCGCAACTTGATAAAATATTTTTGATGTAGGGGCGCAATTTAAGATATTGATTGAGGACTTCTACACCATTCAAGGAATATGGTGATTCGGAATGTGTAAATGCTAATCAATAAATAAGAAAAGGCAGCAGTTGTAATAAATACCCTTAAAAACCATTGAAACGAACTCTGTTCTTGACATACAGCTAGAAAACCGTAAAGGGAAACAAACTTGTAAATGTTTGTCAAAAACAATATTATGAGAACTGATGACGTAAAGCGTCGACCGTTAGTTAAAAGCTTCCATGTTTGTTTCACTTAAGAATTTCTAGCCATATTTCAAGGAACGAGATCGTTGATGAATTATGGGTCCAGAATCGAAATTCTTTCAAGATAGTTCTAAATGATTGAAAATCCTATACTAGTTTCCTCAGTTCTACTTGGAGGATCGCAATGGTAATTGCAAGCCCAAAAATGATCGCTTCCTCCCACAGGTTCAAGAGAAATAAAAGGAGTGCCTAACCTTTTATGTAACACTCACGGCAACGGAACACTTATGTTTTGAAATTCAATAAACAAACATAGAAACAATTTGAAATCGTAACTTTACAAGATAAAGACGATAGAACAAAGTCAGCACTCTATGGATGGATTGAAAGAATTAAGACAGCGGAGATGCGTGGAACCGTGCAAAGTCATCTTTTGTGCCATAGCCGTAAAGGCCAACGAAGAAAACTTTCAGATATGGAAGAGGTCATTTTCAATCATTTTTTCTCTAGTGACAAACAGTCGCGCCTCAAGAAAAGGGTAAAGTACTCTGATTTAATTTAATACTCTAAAGTACTTTAACCTGCTTCAATTAGACGCCTCGAAGTTGTTGTGACAAACTAACACGCGGCAGAAAAGTATTCCTACACAAACTCAACCGGTGGCAATGTTTTTCTAAGATGAGCGATAAGGATATATTGTTGTTTCTGCAAATTTGCACAAATTTTTATTCAAAATAAGAAATATGATGTGCAGTGTAAAAGAATTAAATTCTTTAAATGACAGGCCAAATGGAACGACTGCAAAGTAGTGATGTCAAAAAAAGAAGAAAGTTTAAACCGTTCGAATGTCCTTTCTTACATTTGCATGATGGGGCCATTTTGGTGTCATTGTTTCATGGACTAAATGGAGCGACGATGACTTCCATTCCCATGCCATTAGCCAAGTGATTTTTTTAAGGGCAGAGTATACAGCTACGTGGAAAACACACTGTGCAGTTCCCTGTTTCCTTCCCACAGAGAGCTGAGGGAAAAACGAGTGAGTCGATC